ATAAATTCAAATTTGTATACTTCTGGTATTGTGAGTTTGCATCACAAGCCATTTTACTACCAAGCAATTACATTCCACTATGGCAGATCTGAGGATTTACCCAAATTAAAGTGGTGTTATTTGTAAGATTAATGTCTACAATAGTTGAGTAAAATTTTTTTTTGGCTTAGATGAAATATAGAAACATGAACAGCTCCAAGTTTCAGTAAAGTCTCATCCCTATACAGATGACATGGCAATGTCAAACATCTAAGAATGGCATAACGCTGGTGAGTTGAGGCTGTCAAGAGTACACATTGCTCACTGCAGAGTTTAATTTTGAAAGGCTTCATCTCACGATTACCAGGCATTTTTGATTGGTGGCCACTAGAAGCAGAGTAGTAACAGAATAAAAAAAAAGCCGACTTTCAGCAGTGGTCTACCATAAATCAGAGCCACAAAATAAGACAGCCTGCGAAATATTATCACCGGGCAACGGAGAAGCAACAATGTACTCTGAATATTACATGAAACGCTATTTGCGAGAATTAATTCAGACTATGATTTCTGTGACCAGTGAAGGTCACAACAGAAATGTCAGAACCATATATAATCCCCCCAACCCTGCAGCTCAAAAAACCACTGTCAGATACGCGCGTACGCTTTGTCCTGGATCAATGGCAATGACTACGTACACCCACAGCAACGCTGCCTGGTAGTAAAGGCTTTGGTAAGTCAGCAGGGACTTGTAGGGGCTGATTGCAGAGAAGGCTGAACAAGTCTATGATTAGTAAAAAGAAACAGGAATTAAACAGAATAGTCACCTCAGCTAAACACAAGAGGGAAGCTGCCCTGTCTGCACAAATACTTCCCTCTGGTCTTTAGGAAATAAGGCCAACATCAATATTAACGTGATCAGTCATTCAGTATTTTTCTATTTCACCCCTTAAATTAGTCCCTTAAATTTAAATTTTACCCTTTAAATAAATTTGTCCCACTGTAGTCTCGCAGTCAGAGTGTCAACTTTACCATGTGGAACAGGAGGAAAGGGGCACTGCTCCTCCCAGAGCGCAGGCAGGCGATATGGCAGCAACAAGGACTGAGACTCTTGAAATTGCTGACAAACATAGCGCGGTAGTTGATGCCAAATCCTCATAAGGAACCTACACCCAAATTCAGTTGGAAGGAAGTTGGGTTGCAGGTTTCATTTCCTTCTATCTTACGCTTCTCATCCCCAGCTTCCCTCTTTGCTTCCATTTCTTGATCACCCACATCTAGGCTGAATGTCTGACAGCAGTCGTATTCCTCCCAGGTGGAGTGGCAAGTAGAACACACACCAAAAACTGGTCACATCACACAGGCAGCAGAGACAGGCCTACACGAGTTAAGGAGGGTGGGCTACATATTATTTTAAAATTTAAATTCAGTTTTCAGCCATTATGCTAATCCAGTTAAGGCTTGGAGTCTTCCAGTTCTTCGCTGCTCTTCCCTACTACTTCCCTCCCCAGATATACATTCTAGCCTTGATAGGATAAACCAATGCGGAGTTAAAACTTAATTTATACACTTATATTTGTTATATCCACTGGGTGTAAAATATGACTTCAAGTTATACAAAATGGGTAGGAAAACTAAAGTAAAATGAATAAACGAAACCATGTCATTCAGTATCTCAAGTGTTAGAGAACAGGAGTTTAAAACTTCAATGCCAAAATCTAACTCTTACTGCTGAACAGAATACATGAAAAAGTAATTTATCAACCTGTTATGAAATTCTGTGGTAACCTGCTTCCAAGTTCAGTGTATTTTCTTGAAGGAGCTGTAAAACACAAGGTATTTTGCATAATCTGGATTGGTTTATTTTTAAGCACTCAGGTGGGATATTTAATTAACACATTTTGCCCATAATAAACTGCTTATGTCCTAATATACAATATTCAACACTGTAAAACATTTTGGACAAGGACAGATTTTTTTTTTTTACTAACATCCTAGTAAAATTATATAAAAATCACTAAATCTGAATCTATCTTTTCATAAAGTTCTGCAGAAGACTTTAATAATACGCTTCCTTCCCCTGTGTTTCACTGATATAACTGGAGAGAAAATTGAATTTTAACAAGTAGATTTCATTAGGAACGCAGTACTAGCGTTTTTAACTATGGGTATTCTCATCCCTCCTCACGACTTCAGCAGATACCTCCAATTAATGATGAATCATCCTACCTAAATTTCCTGTTTAGAACATACTGGCAATACCAGCATAACAACCTACAGAGCTCAAAACGGGGAAGAGAAACTCACTTGGTCACACATTGTCACCATTTTTGTTTACAGACACAAAAAAAGGTGGTTTTTAAGCCAGAGGGCGCGGGTGTCCCAGGAAAAACTGTTGGTTTCAGATTCCTAGATGAAATATCGTTATGCTGTTTCAAAGAAACTACACTACTGTATGCAGAGATGTATATGCTACATATTGTATATGATCTACAGCTAGAGATCACTGCTAGAATTAAGGAAAGTTTATCGTGATCAGAAGCACTACTCAGCGTGTTTGTAACAAAATCATGCATGAAGGAAACTGAGGATATTTTGATTGCCAAGCACCAGGGCATTTAAGAACAGCTGTTCTTCAGTACCACGGTACTCACTGAAAGCTGGGCCACAATTCCACAGAAGGTGCTGAAAAAGATAAGAATGAACTAGACAAACAACCTGGTTCAGTTTACCCACGCTGCATCTTTGGAATAACTGAAGTGCCTCTCAGTGTCCAAGTAAATAAAGTCAGAAGAATATCTGCCTGTATCCTCAAATGAGAATTTTGGTCAAAGTTCCACCTTCTGAAGTGGAAAGTCCATCTACTTTGTTGATTAATTTTTGCCTTCCCTGAAGAAGGTTTTTGGGTTTTGTTGTTTCATTTTTTTTTTCTCTTTTCCCCTCTTTCAGGGATTGTCATATCTTCTGCAGGAGCCTACTGCCCACACACTGCTGGATCAGGCTATAACATCCTAGTTTCTGATCCCTCCTGAGGAGGCCTGCGGAGCTCCAAACTCCAAATGTTCATAGATGTTTCAAAGGTGCTTCTTTTATTCCTCAAATGCTCTCCTCTGGAAACTCTGTACTTGAAAAGACTAACACCATGAAGGAAACTGATCACAGGTAACCCTCCCTTTCTTTTTTTAAATAATGATTGATAGAAGGGAATAACTTTTTTGTACACTCGGATATGAATTTTATAGTTCAGTGGTCATATCTAAAGTTTGGGGTTTTTTAAAAAACACCAGGAAACATTTTTGGTGCCATAAAAGGTAACAAAATCCAATATGTCACTGAATATAGTTTTTTATTTTAAAACACAATGATTTTTGAAAAATAGGTTGGTATAGTTTCATTTCTCTCATCTTGAAAATTACTGAACTATCCTCTGAACAGCCTCGTATAAACTTCCACAGCGTGTGGCCATTGCTTCAATACCGCACTGAAAATATTTCAGTTCCCTTCAATTTGCATCACTTTTCATACATTTTTACTTCAGCTTTCAGAGTCAGAATGAAGTCTCAGGTGTTTTAATTTTTAATACATATTTTTTAAAGGTATGCAAGAGTACAGCCCTATTTGATTTGTGAGAATGGAAAAAAATCTACGAGCAACAAAGACTACTTCTTTGTCTATCACCTTTTTCCTAGTCTTAGGGGGTAATTTTCTGTACCAGCTCGTTGTTCTTGATCAGGCACCGTAAAGTGTACCCTGAAATGACATGCTCTCCAGTGCAGGGGGTAACTTGCTGCTTCTCCATTTGGGCTCATTAATGTTTAAGATTTTAAGGCTTTTAACCTTCAACAGAGAAATTGCTTTGAATTTTATTGTAAGCTTCTTTTCATTGACCATTTTGATTGCTGAGGCTTTAAAGGACACAACCAGAGGCATTCCAGACCACACAATAAATAAAACCAACACAATAAAGGTAACTAGGTCTTTCAGAAGTTTTTAAGGACTGCAGGAGATGAGCAGTTGATTTCTTCAAGCTGAGCAGAGAAGCATGGAATGAACTTCAGCTTGCAACAAACTAGGAAGACGTGTGAGAAAGAACATGTCCCATTTTAATATTACTTAATACTGGGATTGACAAGGCATTTTAACAGCAAAGAGGAAGATCCTGTAATGGAGGAAAGCCTCAAATCTAAAGTGATCTGAAGGCACCAATTATTTTAACGTGACAACAATTTTAGAGGTCTACACATGCCAGAACGTAGTTTCTATTTTAAAGCACTATAAACAGTCTATTGTAACCAAGTGGAACAAAATTCCATTGATTCTTTAGAAAATAAACTTAAGAAAACTCTTAGGAAAAACAAGTAGAAAGCTTGCTACTAGCTCTAGTGATAAACTTATTAGTTTTCACTCTACGCAAAGGAAATGGAACAATATTAAGGTGAATGAATTTACGTGTAGATCAAAAAATGAAGGATTATGCTGCCAGGGAGTGAAGGATTATCATCACTTACCTCCCTCATCCAGAAGCTTCCCACTCAGGGGCTGGGATGTATCTGAAGAGTAACATGTAATGGAAATTTGTAGCATTAAATTAACTGCAGCTGATTGGAAGCACCTGATGGAGAAGAGGTGAGAATACCTGCTGTTTTAGAAGTGTGAATAGGAGAATCCCCAAATCTGACTTTCTGGTCTTCTGCCCTGACATTAACTATTAAGGTTAAAATTTGTCTGAACACTGGAAAAAATACTATGATAGTCAGTTACAGTAAGCTACTGGAGAGTAGTTTTCCAGATGAATAAAAAGAAAAAAGGCTCAAGTTATGGTTTTTAACTGAAACCATAGCCTTATGACACCAGTATTCAAATAACCAGGCAATACACTTAGCATCAAAAGGAGATACAAGTTTTCATTGATCAGTACAGCGACACAGCCAAAAAAAACCCTAAACCGAACCAAAGCACACCTATCATCTCCTCAGTAGACTATTTAAATACATAAGTGAAGGCTACAGAAAACAAAATCTTACCTAGTAAGTGTGTACTCCCTGAGTCCTGAATGCAGGTTCATGGCGGAAAAAGTACCTATGCATCCTCGCAATCGTTTATCTCGACCGATCTTCCACGTTACAAACAGTGGGCTGTTTTAGGGAAGAGAAAAAGAGACATGATCACAGAAGCAATATTGATGTTTCGGGCAAGAGGGGGCCAAATCTCTACAATAACTGTATGTGAGCAGGTCACTACTTAGAAATGTCTTTTGCAATTCTTTTGATTGTTCTAGAAATGTTGCTTATGTGACAATAGAAAATAAGATTGCTAAAATATCTGGGGTCAGAATGTGACTTCTTGGTAACAGGTTTGATATGCTCAGCGTCCCTCACTCTTACCCATGAGCATCCTCCTGTGAATGGTAAAAGCCTCACCTTAGACGTCGGTACAGAAGGAACCCTTTACAAAGGGAAAACACCCCGTCACACTCACCACCCCTCCACCTGAACACAAATACTTTTGTCCTTAACACTGCTGGCAAGAAACTACCAGAAATCCTTGGAAGACAAGAACATTTAGGAATGCTCTCCAAACTTAAAGAACAGCCTGAGGAAAGGGTATTTTCTCCATGAATCCCAAGTTAGTCAAACAGGTTAGGGAACATGTTGCCCAGAGAAGCTGTGGCTGCCCCATCCCTGGAAGTGTTCAAGGCCAGGTTGGATGAGGCTTTGGGCAACCTGGTGTAGTGGGAGATGTCCCTGCCCATGGCAGGGGGGTTGGAACGAGATGATCTTTGAGATCCCTTCCAACCCAAACCATTCTGTGATTCCATGATACAAGAATCTCAAAAAGGAGTGGAGAAAAATCTCTAGTAAGTTGAACATGTCTCAATTACATGAGTGTGGCGGTTACAAAGAAATACTTCTACTAACAAACAACTTTGTACCAATCTATAGACTGAGTTAACAAGAGAGAGACAAACCATACAACTTGTGGGGACCAAAGTTTTCCCTGCAATTCTAGAGCACTGCATCAATACACAAGCAACAGAAAACTGCACCAACTGAATTTCTCAAAGGAGTGCACGTGGGTCCGTGATACCCAGTTCTCTCAACTCTAACAGATTCTAAGTCTGAGATGAACAGGGACGTACAGAGAAGAAAAGCATATAAAATTTACTCTTTTTCCAGAAAGGAAATAAATCAAATTGGATTATACAAACGAGAGTGCACTTTCCCTTACTGTTAGGCTTAAAAAAAAATAATATTTTTTTTAAAAGGCATTTCATCAGTTAAACAACTTGACACAGAGTATTTTTGATCACAAATATGTTCATGTTTCTGCAGAACAAGCAATCCCACCTTGCCACCCCCCGACTGCAGAGCATCCTGCCCTTAAATCCTGCAGTAAATCTGGTGTTAGGGTTTGTGGAAAGTCACAGGCCATTCAGGCATAAATATTTATCATTCTTGATATGAAGACCAGAGCCAGGCTGCACTGAGGCTGACAGAAGCAAGGTGCATCCGTGACATTAGAGCACCTGCGACCACCACACGCACACTCAGGGACGCGCAGCTGATGGCTCTCCAGAGCTGTTTGATCAGACACTGCTCTTCAGCATTATGCACAGGCACAAACCATCATGCTGAAGGCATCTTGTTCTTCTTTAGAGCTGTCTTCAACACAGTGTCCTTACTATATAGTCCACAGTCACTGCTACAAAGATCAAGAAGTCTAACAGGAGGTAACCTACCTCAGACCAGCATCTGAGGAGCAGATTACAAAGCAAACATAATTACCACATGTGCCTTAAAGGAGGGGAGCAGATCCACAAGCACAGATACACTTAGCAATTCACAAAAAGTCAAGTTGGCTGCATCAAAAAATAAAGAAGAATCTTCTCTTACTACTATCAGCTGCAAATAATGAGCAGATTTACAACAGCGCACTGTAAGATTAACAACACTGCACTGCAAGACAACCTTTGATAACTATGTCTTGTCTGACTCCTCATCTGAACGATCAGTAAAAACATAATCTGCAAGTTTCTCTGTATTTTGTGAAACAGAACCTCCCTTTCTAGTTATGCTAAGATTCTTAAGTATGCTAAAGCTGAGAGGTTTGGTACACAAGCAGCTCAGTCACTGCACAGTGTAACAGAGACAAATGTAACTGCACTAAGGGTACATACAAAGGTTTTGCACACCTACGTGGTTTTGGACGCTCAAGGAGTAGCCCATATTCCTTTTCTCCTTCCATCCCATTCGCTTTGTCTGGTGTGGTACAAGACATTCATTCTGAGATGGCAGGAAACGATCAGCCTCCCCGTCTCTACGGCACCGATCCAGCAGCATCCAGCCCCCTCATAAACTTCCAAAACCTGCCGTTATCACCTGCTGGTAGAGCAACTTCCTCCTTACTTGATTAAACTGGGCAAGTTCCCTTCTTTCAATGATGATGAATAGAAGAGGAAGCTGAAGTCATATCTGTCTTTTTGATTTGGATTTCCTTTTGCTCCTCCCCTCACTCTCTCTTTTTTTGTTTCTAAAGTTGTTTGATAAAAACTGAAGAGCACCAAGCCAGAAGGGACTATTACCTACCATTTAGCAGAATGCAGGTTATTACACTGTTCTCCATTCAGATCAACACGTGGCGTTTTACTGGCATTTTCAAGAAAGGTATCCCAGTTCCCCTATAATAGTATCAACAAAATTATTGGGTTGCAGTGGCTCTGAAGACACTCTCTCCCCTTGCACAGAAACAAGCCTGAATGAGATTCAAATTGGACTTTAGGATTATTCTCTTGACCTTTATCTTTGGATTATGAGATTTATTAGCTGTAATACACTTAGTGGATGGCTATAATTCAGGGAAACATATACACGTTTACTTTCTTGTCAAAACAGAATTCCTTCTAGGATGCACCCTTACTGCTGCTTTAAAAGGACAACAGAAGAAAGCATCCAGAGACCATCACTGAATGTCAAATAGATTACTGAAACGTTTGCATACGCTTTGAAGGTCCTTGTCAATGAGTACCAACAGAAAAAGCAAAGGTTATATACAGATATTTTTTGTACTAGTGGTGGTAGTAGCATAAACATACCGTTCAGACTCAATTTAAACCTCTATCCATTGGGTAAATGAACCACCGCTGGTAGCCATGCATCCTATATGTTACAAAATCTGACTAAAAATGTTTTTCCAACCTTTCAACTTCTGTGTTCCCCTCACTTGCCTCCTTGTTCCCCAGGAGCAACTAAAGGTATCAGCATGTCTACACAAAAGATACAAGCCTACTGAACAGAACTGCTTTTCTTAATTACCATCACGGACGTCTTCAAAGTGTAATATGGACCAAAGGTTCAGAGCAGTCCGTGACCCAAGAGGATTCTAATTCTTCGGATTCAAGAAATAAGGCTGAAAGGGGTATTCAGGGCTCCTGCTATCATAAGGAATAATTATATTATATAATTCTGTTCATAAATTATCCACAATCTCCATCTTAAAAATAATGAGGACAAAACCCCACCAAAAAAAAAAAAAAAGAAAGTTGCCTCAGAACCTCACTGAAGTTTAGAACCTCTGGAAACATTCTGATATCCTGCCAAAATGTTTTCCCAGTCAGCTTGCACCTCGCTACTCCCGTGCCAACATTGTCCTTTAGTTTAAATAGTTCTTTTCCCTTCCTGGTTATTATTCTCCAAAGTATTTATAGAAAGAATTCGTATGCCTCTTCAGACTTCACTTTGCTGAGCTAAATGGGCTGCGTTCATTCAGTTTCCTCTCAAAGGGGATCTTTCCATTCTGACCATCTCCTCTACACCTTTTTCCAGTTTAAATTCACCTTCTTGAACATCAGTGTCCAGAACTGTACACAGAATTACAGAGGAGGTCTGGCACCTGCATTAATGCTGCCATCTCTGAACCAGAAACACTGATTGCTACATTTTAGGATTAATTCTCACAGCTTTATATAAAGTCCAAGTCTGCCACTTAAAACTTTACAGAGCAGTTCTAGTCTTACACTAAACAAGGACAACAGAAAACCTGCTCACCGAATCTAGACAAGGTATGCAGAGAAAAGAATTTGTTCCTTCCTAGTGATGTTCTTTTGCTTTTTATCGGCATTCTTGGTTGCAGCTGCTTGCCTATTTTCTCCAAGCCTGTCATGCTTTTCTGGTGCTTCAAAGCCAATAACCCACAAATAAACTTGCCATCTAACATAACTGCAAACCTGACATCTGAGGCTAAGTGCCAAACTCCACAGATATCAAGGTCAATAACAGCTAAGTAAACATGTACATTTTCAACTGGAAAAAAATCCTTATTTTCTTCTGTTACCTGTTTTCCTTAGAATAAAAAGGAGGGGGGTTTTGAGCAACACATTGTTAGACCTAAAATGAAAATTCGCACCTCTAGGCACCTGAAAGAAAACATAAAGAGAACAACAGAAGATAAAATCTTCAGTAAAAAGCAGCAGATGTGACGCTAGGAGTCCCTTTTATGCAACGACATACAGCAAGGCTATGCACTGCATGCTGGAGATCCGAGTCCTCTTTTTGCCTAAAGAAGTTTGAACCCACATATCCCACAAGAGTGGGAGAGCATGTCGGGGTGGAGCTTTCTTTCACCTTTCTGACTCCGGCTCCCTCTTGATCTAGTATGAAAGCTGAGGGGTTTGTTGTTGTTTGTTTGATTTTAAAAAAAACATTCACCAAACCAGATGCTACGTTTCCCCGGGAGGGCCCTAACCATTAGCTTCAAGTAGTTCTCTTACTCAATTAGGGTGAAGCGTCTTATTTAAAAGCAGAACAGCTCCAAGCTTGGGAGTGAGCCCTCCTGAACCAAGAGACTTGGAAAGATACTTGTCTGATGGGTTATCCAGCTTCTCATCGTGGTGCCAGGAACCTCCGACATACGCTGCTGACTGTTAACAACAGGAGTGATGCAGAGCACCTCGAATACTCAGCAGCTGAAATTTGGTGGAAGATATTTCAAACTCTACAGAAGCAGAAGGAGGGACCGAATCCAGACCCTTGGAAGCATCTGTAAATATCTTAATCATTCTTCTTTCATAAGGGTCTGTATTTTGTGATTATTTTTTTGTTTGTGAGCCAGACAGGTGCCACGGCAAAGTCACAAGCAACCTTAGGACTATAAACTTTCCATCCAGCCATTGTCTAATTTCCTATTTATTGAAAAGTCTTGCCTAGCTCTAATCTAAATAGCAGGCAACTGTTCCATTTATTTGCTACAGAGGTTGTCAGGCACTACTCCATGAAAACCAGCTGATTGTTTTTCCCCTGCTTTCAGCTGCAAACTGAATTAGAGAGACACTTGCAACACAGTAAAAGTTTATACTAATATTATAAAATCATAGAATCATGGAATGGTTTGGGTTGGAAGGGGCCTCAAAAATCATCCAGTTCCAACCCCCCTGCCATGGGCAGGGACATCTCCCACTACACCAGGTTGCCCAAAGCCTCATCCAACCTGGTCTTGAACACTTCCAGGGATGGAGCAGCCACAGCTTCTCTGGGCAACCTGTTCCAGTGACTCACCACCCTCAGAGTGAAGAATTTCTTCCTTACATCTAATCTAAATCTCCCCTCTTTCAATTTAAAGCCATTGCCCCTTGTCCTGTCACTACATGCCCTTGTAAAAATTCCCTCTCCAAAATTCCCTCTCCCTTCCTATATTGCTTCCTTATATACAATTGCTGTCATCGAAAGGGGCATATGTACATTGTCTCCTGACGTATATGCATGTATCCAACACCCTAAATGCTGACCTTAAAGGTGAGCCAGAAAACAGGTGGCTGAAGCACGGGAGCACGGGTCACCCGATCAGAGTTCTGCCCCATGTGTCACTTCAGCTACTATTACACTATTTTCATTAATGAAGAAACTAGGACAGCCCTGTACCTTACTTGAGCATTAATCTGTTGTAACTTCTGGAGAATTGGAGCGCTTCACATGAAGGTCACAAGGTATAAACTTATATAAATGCTGAAAGTATCAAAATAGGCTCTTCCACACCATGCTTACCAGTGCCCTAAGCATATTCCTTATTCATGTTTTGCAATCAAAATCACCTAAACCAATTATTGACCTGCTTGCTACATATCACTGAAAATTAGACTGAAAGCAAAAGTGTGCAAGCTATTTCAGTCGTCAGTCAGCTATCACAGTAAGAGTCAGCAAGCCAATAACTTACACTGGAATCATGCAGAAAGCACTGTTAAAAATATCCTCTTTTAATATAAAGCATCACTGGATACAAGCTGCCTTTTATTTACCAGCACGTTTAATAAAGAAAGTGAAGGGATTCTTTAAGCTGGGGTGTGAGGGAGAAGGTAAGAAGTGTGAATACATCGGTCTTTTTCTGGTACCATCAGAAGCAGCATGAAAAGTTTCTCTTCCTTGTTATGGATAGGGAGGAAAAGAAAGGGGAGGAAGGTGGGAAGAATAGAGGAAAGGAAGGGTAACAGATCAAGAACATTTCTCTACTTTTATAAAAGATCATATAAAAAAATATATAAAAGATTTTGGTTTCACTTGCAGACTTCTAAGTAATAAAAAAACTTGTGGGACTTTGAAGTGAAAAGGATTAAACCTGTTGAACTGGGAAGTAAAATGATATTTAGACAGACATTTCAATTACAGTTGTTTTACCTACCATCTTTTATAACCAGAGAAGGGAAGAAAGTCTCTGCAGCCCCACTGTTACTTGACACCCAGGGCTGCAGGGTCAGACACTGAAAAGTCAGCGCACGCCTCCCTTTGTAAGACCAGAGAGCTTCCACTTCAGCTCCGAGGGTTTCTAAGCCACAACACACCCAGAGAGCACTCTAAACAGGCAAAGCTGCAATGCCAGTGTTTTCCTTTTTCTTTTACACAAGTGAACAAGTTATTGTTCCTAAATTCTAGAAAACACCCAGGGCTGCAGGGTCAGACACTGAAAAGTCAGCGCACGCCTCCCTTTGTAAGACCAGAGAGCTTCCACTTCAGCTCCGAGGGTTTCTAAGCCACAACACACCCAGAGAGCACTCTAAACAGGCAAAGCTGCAATGCCAGTGTTTTCCTTTTTCTTTTACACAAGTGAACAAGTTATTGTTCCTAAATTCTAGAAATTTTTTTTTTTTTAACATCCAGCTTTATCTTATTTGGGATCA